AATAAAAAGACAAAAAAAAGCCAATTTTTAAAAAATTCTATAAAATTCAAAAAAGTACTTAGAGCTACCAAATTTTTATATATATTGCTTCTATCTATAAGATACTTTATATAAGTATTTAATTGCTTATTAATTTGTTAAATTTGTAGATAATTAGCTTTAAGTAGTATTACAAATAAGTACAAAAAACTAATAGTAGTACATCTAAATCCTATCCATTAATAATTTAATAATAGTTAATAAAATGCTTGGTCAAGAATATATAACAAAAAGGATATTCTTTATGCTGCTCAGAAAATTATTCAACATTCTGGCTTCACTATAATGACTAAAAGTAGTAGCAATTATCATTTTTATCTTAAATACAAACATGATAATCAACTCTAAAATTTCTTAAACCTAATAGCAGATACTTGTCAAAGAAAAAGGATGAGTAAGTGATATAGATATCTATATCTTTTAAAGGTAATATTAAAAAAATGTTAATGGCAGGTAATTAAAATTAATGATAAAGGACATGACAAAAATTAGATGATTTTTTAGAGAAAAAAGAGGTATAAAATTTAAAATTATATATAAAGATCTAATCAAGATATATAGTATAAGGAGAGGAGGGGGATAAGCCTCTAATAAAACAAAATCAGGTGATAAATGATACTGCTCTAAGTATAATCATTCTATAGCCGAAGATGAGAGAGTTTTTCATGAATATTATCCATTAACTCAGAAAACAAAATGTATAGTTGTGAGAATATTAAAGATCTATAAGGCTATTAGAGATGAAAATAGAATACCAACTATGACAAGAAAAGATATTTTTAATATAGATTTACAGATTAACTCTTTAGAAGAAACTATATTAATAGAGATATTGATAGTAGAAATGGAAGAAAGAGAGTATACAGTACGCTATGAGAATTATTACTTTTTTTTTTAATATCTCTATTGTTATATTACTATAAAGACAATATATGGAGAGTCCCACAGCAAAAAGTAGTGATGGGCCAAAAAAAAATTTTTTGCAAAAACTTCATTTTTGCAAAAATTAAATTATTTAGAACACAATATCAAAAAAACTACAGAAAAAGATTTTTTTGGCTATCACCACCTTTTGCTATGAGGCCTTCCATATATTGTATTTAGAAAGTTACTTTAATTAATTTAAAAAATTTATTTATTTATTTTGATAATATAATCATTTTCTAAATTTCAATCTATTAACTATTTAATATTTAATTTAATACAGATG